TAGCATTTGTGATCAAATCCGAAAGTAACAATTACCTTTAACCCGGTAGTGAAAAAAGTATTTCATTTGACTACTTTAACACAAATATGTCAATCCTCAAACAAGGCCATGCCTCATACGTTACAGGATAAAATCTAACGAATCTTGCTTTGACAACAGGACTAAGTGAATGCTTCACAATACTGCTTCTATCTGTGTTGCCTGGGAACACCTACAAATGAAAAAGAAATTGCAGAACAGTATGCATTATGCACCTATGACTAAAATCAACAGAGAAAATTTACTTTTACTGGTGTAATAGCACATAAATAAAGGTTGCGAAATATGCTAGTTATATTTGAACTTGTATCATACAGAGTTTAATAAAATAATTAATTATAAATAGCCTTTTATGGTCCATCATCATTATTATTGTTGTTATTATTATTATTAGTGTTACTGTTATTAATTTATTATTATTATTATTACCATTTTCTTGTCCATTCCAATATAATCATTAATAATCATTATAATAACACCTTCAATGTCCTCTTTGTCTTTAAACTGCAGAAAACTTATTAGTAAACTTAATTGTAGCACAAAAAACCCTGAAGGGCACTTTGTCCGTCCTGATATGCGAATTCTCCACTGTTCTTGCTGCCAATCATTTTCAGTGGAAAGCCATGAACCTTTGTTTTTTTACACCCAACTTGTTACACGAATTGCTAGATTCCCATGCGTTTTTCTTTTATACATAGCGAGACATGCAGTCTTTATATACGAGGACTACAGTGCTTGCATGGCTTAACCACGAAGCAATTGTACTGTTTACTCAGACAAATTAATGCTTTCTCTAAAGACCTCAACTCCAAGACAAGAGTATAATTTGTTAGCCACCTTTTCCACATTGTTTTCCTTGTAGCTGTTCCATGTTCCTCCATCTGTAGAAAAATGCACTTTGTAGCTGGTGATCCAATCAGAGCTTCTTCCGTGTTCTTGTGTTGCCACTGCACAAACAGAGTGCACTGTAATCATATCAACTTGAAGATAGTCTGTTCTGTTATTTTTTGTCTTTGTACACCACGCTCCATCTTCCCTGATCTCATTCAGCCGGCCATAGTATGGATAATATCTACTACTATAGTATGTGCTTGCCGTCATTCTAGCATCTGGTATTTTGATCCTGTGCTCTACACCAACAGGTCCACATACTGAACCACAAACAAACAAACAAACAAACAAACAAACAAA